GGACTAGTTTAGTTTGGGATTATGGTTGGCGTGGACTGGTTGGGTTTGTTTCAGTGCTGTATGACTCTGACTGGAGGTGTCACTATGTTAATGGCGCTATACAAATGCCACTTGCTACTGCTGCTGTTCTCCCGATTGTCCTTTGCCACAACCTTCCTCAGTATTAACTAGATGACCCAATTGGATGGAGTCTGCAGGCTGAACCCTACTCATTTTGGGTGCTGCTTGGAAATCCCTCCCTTGGTATCAATTCTGTCCTGCCTTATGGGACTACCTCTCCTGTACAGAGCGAGGTTTAAGAGTATACCCATCTCTGATGGGTTGATTCCTTACTTCCCCACTTCATGAGATCATTCCTCTCTGATCTTATTTCTTGCTCTCCTTCTAAGAGTTTGTCAAGCAAAGAGATTGCCCATATTTCTCGGAAATTTTTGCCCATCACCTCGAAACAGGTTGGGCTTTCACCTCTCGCTGCGAGGATTGTCACTCACAAAGCGTTCGATCCTTGTGAACTCTGCCTTATTGTTGCACATGACAATTGTGACCTTTCTGTAATTTACATTACAGTGGAGACCTAGCCTCAGGAGGGCACTTTACTCTACTTAGCATGTCCCGAAGTGAATATATAATGCACGGTGAACCCATTCAAACAGAAATAAATCCCAGAAATGCAAAGGAAGTGAGCACACAATAGAATTCAGTTGTGATCTTGATGGAAAACGTACACATAACTGTCTACCGGATCTCTCGCATGCATCATTCTGTTAAGAAAAATTAATTTACTTTCTGTTATGCCTGATAGAAAGAATCACACATCAGTCCCAATAATGAATTGTCTTTCCCATAATGAAGTCAGTTAAAATTTGTTTTTCACTGTTGGGTACACATCTCAAAGCATGTCTGCGAATATCTTTATGACATATCTATAAATTAGAGCATTCCTATTGACGTTGATATTTAAACTGTGTTATTCACATCTGATCAGTAGATAATGAAGGCATTCAGACTGGAGATTCCAACTTTCACTAAAAAAAAATGTATAAAATGTAGGAAAAAGCCAAAACTTTAATCTTCAATCCAACTTAATCCAATAGAGTGATTATGACAATTTCAGTTTTCTCCTCATCAACATCAAAGCAAAATACTGCTGATGCCGGAGAGCTGAGATAAAAACAGAAATTGCTGGAGAAACTCAACAGGTCTGGCACCATCTGCGGACAGAGAGCGTTCATATTTTGACTCCAATATGACTCCTCTCCATATCATACCCTATCACACTCTGATTTTATTTCAGGGCATGTATTCCTTTCTTTGTATATAGAATGGGGGGGCTTCAGTACCTGGGTGTGTGCTGTGTTAGTTCAGGTACATCTGTTGCACAAATTGTACATGCCCAGGTTTAAGTTGTTTTCCTTCCATGAGAGTAAAGTTTGTCAAATCTGCACATTCTATTTATATGTTAAGTAAGCGTGTGTGCAAAGATATACACACACACATACACACACACACACTCGACAACAAAGACCTGCTACTATGACCCTACAATTTCTGTAGTGACAGCAACATATATCAAAACAGAGCAGAGAAGCCAACAAAAATACTAAAAAAAACACATACAATGCTTTGAATTGGCATTTTAAAGAGTATAAAACCACAAAAGAAAGATGGAAAGCAAACAACTGAGCATGGATTGGCATTCCATTGACATTCTATCATAACTTTATTTATTCAAAGAAAGAATCACCTCCATTTCCTGGGTCAGCAAATGGCTGACAAACAACAAAAGGCAGTGAAATTTAGGGTTAGGGTTAGGTATAAGAAGAATAAAAACCTTTGGTATTTCTGACTATGACCGGAAGGATCCTGAGAAAGTTTTTCGATCTTAGAGGTTAATTTAAAATTCAAGTTAATTTCAGGATACATGGGTTTAAGTTCAAGTCATACTGACAGCAACCAGGTGGAATAATCAATCAGCAGGACTTGATACAAAGGTATAGAATGTGATTTCTCCTGAGTTAACATTAATCAAAGGTTGGTGGAATGGGCCATTGCCTCTACAACCATCAAATCCTTCCAAAAGACACTTCTGGATACTCCTAAGGAACATACTATTGATGCTTTATTTGGAAAGGGGTATAAATTTAAAGTAATTGCAGCAGGTAAATGGCATCTGCAAGAGCTCCACTCGACAACAAATGCTGCAGCCATCACTGGGTTTAATGGACCACCCAAATCTTATATGAGGGGTGGCTCAACACATCCACAAGAGAGAGTCCAATATTTCTTGATAAATCCGGTCTACAAGTGGGAGATTTTCTAAAGTGAGTAGGAAGTCCAAATGCCGAGAGAAACCCAAAGTGGAACACAATGTTCCACAGCATGAGATGAAGCAGAATCAACCAAGGAACAACATCGAAAAAGTTTCCAAAATTCAGTCTGTAGCAAGGATGCGAGTTAACAGAGTAAGAGGTAACCACAATGTTGCAGCTTACAGACCCCAGTCAGACTGTACCATGTGATAAACCTGCTAACTGCTTTCAATGGGTCCTTAGGATAGACACCTGAATTTTGTTGAAACAGATGGACCACCTATTATCAATCTGCTCACACACATATGCAGAAAGATGCCCATTAGGATCCACAAGGTGACAAACCTGTCAGTTGCAACACCAGAGATTTCAGACCACAGCATCATTCCCATATACTCTGAGCAGAGAAGATTCATTGAGCTACGTCAGCCGATGACAAACTCGAACAGCTCAGAAATATCTTTATTAACGGGCAGCCTGAATCTATCGAGCTGGTCCCCAAGCTAGTACGTTAATTCTGCTCATTTTTAAACAAACTCAAACCCTTCAGGAGAGTTGATGACCTTAGTGATATTATCGCTGCGCTATTAATCCCAAGACCCAGGTACGTTCTGGGGACTTGGGTTTGAATCTCTCCAGGGCAGATGGTGGAATCTGAATTCAATAAAAGTCTGGAATTGAAAGTGGGCATTGAGCATTGAGATAGAGGATCAGCCATGATCAGTTTGAACATTAGAGCAGGTTTCAATGATCTACTCTTGCTCTTAGATTTTGGGTTTCTAGAAAAACTTCACCTGTAATCCCTTACATATTTGCTCCAGGATTGAGAAGACATCTGCCTCATAGAATCCTGAAAGTACACTATGCCATCTTAACATCCACATTCCCAGCACTGCATTAAATGTAAATTACTTTATATTGAAATGTTTGATAATGAATGGTGTACAACAGTAAAATGTTAAGACATGGAAAAACACAAGAACTCTGCATATTGAAACATGACCTACATACAATGGAGTTTCTTGTGAGAACACACAAGGCTTAGATGTATTTTTTTTCCATTTGCATTCACTTCATTTGACATTTCACTCATCATACTTTGAGATTTTTCAAAGAACTGATCTATCATTAGTTATTCTTTGTTAGCTTTGGCTCCAGTGACAGCATCTACTTGAACTAAATAAAAACCAAAAGAATTGCGGATGCTGTAAATCAGGAACAAAAACGAAGTTGCTGGAAAAGCTCAGCAGGTCTGGCAGCATCTGTGAAGGGAAAAGCAGAGTTAACGTTTTGGGTCCGGTGACCCTTCCTCAGAACAGTTCTGAGGAAAGGTCACCAGACCCGAAACATTAACTCTGTTTTTCCCTTCACAGATGCTGCCAGACCTGCTGAGCTTT